AACACCCTAACATGATTTAAAAGCATTTATTTACATAAATAACTTGCAATATAATACTTACAGCAGTTTCTTTCAAAAATGCTTCAAAATACAGTAAACTTCACTTATAGCGAACACGGTTATAGCGAACTTCCGGTTATAAGGAACAATTTACTTTGGCCCGAATTTTGCCTTTCTTTATTTCATAGATAGATAAACTTTATTCATACAAAGGCAATATGCCCATCAGTACACAGTAATAATACAATCAGCAGTTACATATTAACATCAATGGCATGATATAGCATGGTATACATAAAATAGTTCTATTAAAAAGTCAATACTTATTCATTATAACATATCTAGTCTATTATATATGTGATACATATAAAATGTACATTATAACATCAATGACTTGATATAAGCATCATATATATGAAATAGTGAGAGGACAAGGTTATCGTTGATACAATGCACTGTCTCTTTTATCAAAACTTTTGTAAACAAATATTGCTAAATTTTTAACAATCCAAATATTTTCAGATTCAATAGTTCTCTAAATTTAATTACATTAGGTCCTTCCAAAATATTTTTTTCATATGCATTTGTCTAATATCTTGGTACAGGGGACATTCAAATAAAAATGAAACTCATTCCTCTAGAGTATTACAAAGTCTACATTTTCTTTCGTCAAATGATATTTTTTGTGGCTATGCCATCTACCCGCTTCTACCTCTAAATAATGGGATGACACTCTCAGTCTTGTTAATGCTTTTCTAAATTTAGTAATTTTAACAATGTCTAAATATGGCTGATATCTAAAACATGAAAAAAGTTTAATGTCCTGGCTCTTGTCGAATTTTTTCTAATTGAGCGTTCCATAGTTGTAAACAATTATCATACATTATTTTCTTAAATACATCTATAAAAATATTTTTGTTTCCAACTCCTTGGAATAGCCACACATGATTAAAACCTAATGAGTCTAGTAAAAGTTTAATATTATAGGCCCATGAAATCTATTAGGGTACATTTCTAAGTCTCTTAACATCATATCGTATACATGTCTTATATAGTTTGTGCATTCGCATTCTAATATTTTTAAACCAGAATCTTACTATACATATTAGCCTATTAGAAAGTAAACTTGTTCGACCTAATTCTCCATAGACAAAATTATTCTGGGTTTGGGCACGTACTCCTAAAAGTTGTTTACAATATTGTAAATATATTCTTTCTATAACATTTGTTTCTTTGAATCCCCATATTTTCACATCCATAGTTTAAAAATAGGAACAACTAACTTATCAAATAGTTCTAAGGAGTGCTTAACATCAATATTAGTGAATTTAACTAAATAAGACTTGAGTTTGTATATTGCCTTCAACGCCTGGCCTGCTAATGCCTCGTGCGTTGCGCTAAAAGAACCACCTGTGTTAAATGTAATACCTAAATAAGAAATTTTTTTAACAATGTCTACAGTGTGACCATTATTTGTGAAGTTCATATATTTCTTCTGTTTGTGCCGCCTTTTCTAAATACAATTACCTTTGTTTTTTCAACATTAACTGTTAGTTTTCCATTTTCATACAATAGTCAAATAACAGATCTAAACCTTTTTTGTAAACTAGTTTCGGTTTCAGCAAAAATCACAATATCATCAGCATACAGCAAAAGGAAAAGTTTGAACATATCTAAGTTTACACCATCAAATCCATGTAATATGAAATGCTCCTCAATGTCGTTTAAGTACATTGAGAATAAAAAAGGCGAAATACATTCTCCTTGACGAACGCCCAACATGCATGAAAAATCAGTGCTAATTGTATTTAAAATGCTTAACTCTAGATTTAACATTATTATACATTGATCTTATGGACATCTAATATCTTTCCTCTAATGCCTAACTTAAGTAATTTATACCAATATTATATCACGTACAACAAAATCAAATGCCTTGGTAAAATCTATAAAGGCTACAAAAAGTTTTTTGTTATTGTTAAGCATTATGATTAATTAATCCATGTAGAATAAAGATATTATCAATCGTTCCCATATTTTTTTCGGAAGCCTGCCTTGCTGCTCAATATACACATTATAATCTTCGGCCCAACAATTTAATCGGTTATTCAAAACTGTAGTAAATAGCTTGCCTATAGTACTTAATAAAGTAATTGGTCTGTAATTTCCAGATTCATCTGTATTACCTTTTTTTGTGTATAGGGATGATGTATCCTTCAGTCCACTTTTCAGGGAAATAACCGAGGTCAAAAATTTTGTTAAATAAATTTTTAAAAGGAAAGATAAGAAAAATCTATTTTTGAGACCCATATTTAAAAAAATCATTTAAAACTAAGTCTGGACCTGCCGCTTTTCCCTAATTTTAACTCATTACAAGCTTTTAAAACCTAAGCAGAAGAAATTTCCATGTTTAATTCTGAAAACATAACGTTAAGCTCATTATTAAGATATCTTTCTTTAAAATGTAGAGCATCATCATCAGGTTGAAAAAATGCAGACTCTGGGTTGTTAACTGCTTTTAAAATATTCAGCAAAACGATCAGCAGAAATATATTGTTTCGAAATATTATTACCACACAAACTTTTTAACAATTTCCAAATACTCTTTTGCATTTGAAAGTCTCATTTTTTCTAATTTTGTAGTTTGCATTTTGTCAAAATTATACGTTTTATTTCTTACTAGACATTTATATTCACTTCTAGCTTTTAGTCATATTTATTCTATTTTCATTACACTCATTTTTTCTATACTCATTTAAACATTGGTAAAAAATCTTTCTTTTATCCACACATTCTTTTTGTCATACCATTTATTTTTGATCACATGATAATTTAAAATCTCCAACATTTTTCCTAAACAGAGGGGTACATATTTCATCAAACAGCCACATAAAAAGTCAGACAACGTTTTATCAACATCTTCAGTATTTTATGAGTTAAAAATAGAATTTCCTAATTCTGTAAATATATGGCATACCATTTCTCTGTTTCAAGTACCTCTAAATACTCGTTTTTCCTTCTACTATCCCATTTACACATAAAAGGAGGGTTTTTTATATTATCTTGCACAACTTCATCATCAATACTGTTTAACTTTGAATATAAAGAAAATTCACAACACAATGATCAGATATAATATTTGGGATCCTCAACATTAAAAGATGTAACATATTTCATCAGATCGGGCCTACATAAAACAAAATCTATGACACTTCTACCTTGCTCTTTTACACATGTATATTTACCAAGTTTTTATCAGCGCCGGTTTCTCCCGTTTAAAATTCTCAAAACCAGTGGCCTTACAAAAATTTAATAAAAGTTTGCCATGTTCATTTACTTGCTTATCCTGGCTTTTTCTTAACATAAACAATATCTGCAATGTAATCCTCCGGTAATAAATCTACATTAATTAAAAACTCATTTTCGCCATAATCTGGCTTCTCTCCAACTCTTGCATTGAAATCTGCAGCAATAAGGAAATGACATTTACCGTCATGAACATTTTCAAAAATGGTACATGTCATCAGATATTATATCAAAATATACTCTGTTCAAGAATAAATTCTCTACTACTTCCAGTAGGTACATTGTAGCATAAACACAAAAATACATCATAATTTAAATTAAACAATTTTGCCATCTAATTGTAACCAAAATAATTACAGTCTTCTACACTTTTAAGGAATACAACACTGCGTTTTATCTTTTCAGAGATGTATACAATTACACCACCACTGTCTCTCTTCGCACCTTTTTTACTTTTTCTATTTACAGCAAAGTTAATAAAAACCATCTACTTCATAATTATATAAATCATTTAAACCAACTTTCAGTAAATAACTAAAATGTCATGCTCTTTGAATAAAAGTTCATCTCATCCAGTGTCAAGTTTATTATTATCTTAAAACCAAGCAGTCCCTGACAATTAAGTAAACACATATTTACACCCCTGTTCCCCTCACTCCGATTCCTAACGTTTCTCCTGTCTACCGTCACGGTTAAATTGACCTCCCCCGCTATCTTCTGTTTCATGGGTTTTCTGCATGCTATTTATAGATGTGTTGTCGTGCCCTCGTGGTATAACAGGTGCGTGCATACCTATATAAAATATACGGTTATAGCGAACACGGTTATAAGGAATTATCGCTTATAAGGAACTCATTTCTTAGTCCTAATTTAGTTAAAAGTGCAGAAAATTACACTTTTATAACGAACTCCAAAATATCGGCTATTCGTACATATATCTCACATTATTTTCAACTTTCGTTTTTCATTGCCATGGCGGAATGTACCGTTTATTGTTGTATGTACTTCAATATATCTATGAAAATGATTTTGTATAGAAGTATGTTATAGTTTTCTATTTAGGATATTTTTAGCATGAGTTCTTGTCACAAAGATAAAAAGGTTATTCCTTTTATTCTATATTTTTCTTTTCTTTAATAGTTTTGCTCGAGTAAATTATGATCATTTATAATCAGTACGCATGCTTGCAAACATAATCAATAGAAAGTTACAAAGTATGCTTGATTGAAATGAAAAGAAATCTATATATTTCATTAGTAAAAGTCATCCTTTAAATATAAAAGAAGATATTCAAGAAAAAAGGAAAATCTTGTTTATTCTTATTCATGGAAAGAAATCGAAAAGCAACGAGTTAAGAAACAAAATATGATATTTTATAAGAAATTGAGAATAGGAGTAAAACTAAAACTGAAATAGCAAATGATTTTCAAGTTCCAAAATGTACGCTGTCGGGTATTGTGTCTAAAAAGAAATAAATGACTAATTACTCTTAATCAAATGCTCTTCAAAATGGCGGACGATGTTTATTAATCAGTTCGTTATATATATGTAAATCTGTTCGCTATAAAAACTCCTGATACAAAGAACTAATTCGCTATATGCTTACAAGGAACAGATATATAAAGAACAGATTTTGAATGTCCCAATGAGTTCGTTATAAGCGGAGTTTACTGTAATAGAAAATTTGGCTGAGTTGCAAATTTTCACGCATATATTTGGAAGAAAACACATATTTTAAGTCAATTTAAAAAGTAAAAATATACATAAATAATACATAATTAATGAAATTGAATGTTCTTGACAGACACATGATAAGGACACCGTAGGTTAGAAAAAGAAACGTGTTCAAAATCATCGTGACAAAGTTTCAAACTGATAATTCATATTCAAGCTTCGTCACCAAAACTCAATAGACATATAGGCAGAATGAAAATGTTTCTTTTATTATATTTTAAGACCATGCAAAAATAAAAAAATATATATTCTGATTTCTGTCTGTATGTAACTGAAGTATACTTATTTAAAAATTATATCGGATATTTATACCAAATTAATAAAAACGTTTTCTATGATGAAGGTTTCGCGTCGCCTTTACCTTGTTGATCGTTGTTCTTGTTAAATTTATAAGCATTATCTTTTTTTCTGCAACAGAGTTTTTTCCTGAAAATAATAACAGCTTTGTGAAATGAAATTGAAAGTAACTATTAATAAATAATAATAAATCATTATGTTAAATATAATTCTTTTAAACCAAAAGATAGTTGCAGTGATCAAATGAATACTCTCAAAACGTGGGTGTATAGAAATGCCTTGACTATTTTCTTTGGAAAAAAAAACCCAACAAAACTTAAATGTGGCGATTACATATATTATCTATTCAGAAAGTAATATAAACATCAGTTTCATATTTTAAGAACTTAATTTATAGAAAGAATATAAACTTACACTGTAGCATATGTGGCAACCGACGATGCAATAGCTCCAGCTAATCCACCAAGTATAGCGACCAGCGAGACAGAAACTGAAATTAACAATGACAAATAAAGTATAAATAGATTTTATTAGTTTTTAACTACTTTGATGATTAACCATAAGGTTAAGTTCTTTTGGTTTGTTTTTATAAAAAACTGAAGCAATGGTTCATTTAAGTAAGTTACGTGAACATTTCTTCATTTACGCATTTATTTAGGTCCCTCATATTTATAATGCATTCGATTCTGACATACATGCATAAGAATTTAGAAAGTGCATAACTTGCCATGGATATACCCATTTAAAAAACTCGGTAAAGATAAACGAAGTTTTCCATTATAATTTGATAAGATATTGTGGGTTTATTTTCTCTTCTAATTCCCACATTTCAAATCTTAATGAAACGTAATTCCAAGTTGTGTCACCCGTAAAACAGTAACTATGGCATTACGTTCAGCCGTAAGCACGTTAAATCTGATTTGAAAAAAGAAATTATGCGGAACTAACATTTTGTTATCCCCCGCCGAAAAATTTCGGCGGAGGATATAGAAATAGTCTCCGTCCGTCCGTCCGTCCGTCCGTCCGTCCGACATTTTTGTCCGGAGCATATCTCTAAAAGTATTTGAGTTATCAACTTGAAACTTCATAGGTGGATAGACCTCATTGAGGAGGAGTGCCGTGCACAAGAATGATAACTCTACCTTGCATGATTTTTAAGTTATTGCCCTTTGTTATTTTTCAAAATTGATTTTTGTCCAGAGCATAACTCCAAAAGCCTATGAGATATTAACATGAAACTTCATAGGTGCATAGATCTCACTCAGGAGGTGTGCAGTGCACAAGAATGATAACTCTACCTTTCATAATTTTTGAGTTATTGCCCTTGGTTATTTTTCATACCTAATTTTTCACCTGAGTGGAGCATAACTCAAAAAGTGTTTGAGATATCAACATGAAATGTCATAGGTGGATAGATCTTATTGAGGAGGAATGTTGTGCGCAAGAATGATAACTCTTCCCTATATAATTTTTGAGTTATTGCCCTTTGTTTTTTTATGCTATTTTGTCCAGAGCTTATCTCTAAAAAGTATTTGAGGTATCAACTTCAAACTTCAAAGGTGGATGGATCTCATTGAGGAGGAGTGCAGTGCTTAAGAATGATAACTCTACCCTGCATTATTTTGAGTTATTGCCCTTTGTTATTTTTCAAAATTAATTTTTGTCCAGAGCATAACTCAAAAAGCCTTTGAGATATCAAAATGAAACTTCATAGGTGCATAGATCTCACTCAGGAGGTATGCACTGCACAAGAATGATAACTCTACCTTTTATAATTTTTGAGTTATTGCCCTTTGTTCTTTTTCATACTTAATTTTTCAATTCAATTTTTTTCTCAAAAAGTATTTGAGGTATCAACTTGAAACTTCATAGGTGGATAGATTTTACTGAGGAGGGATGCAGCACACAAGAATGATAACCTACCCTGCATTATTTTTCAGTAATTGCCCTTTGTTATTTTCAGCCATCAGTATTCACATAGGTTTCAAATCTGTAATCACTATAGCCATCAGTTTTCATTACCAAAAGACCTCTTAAAATGGAATTATTCCGCTCTACTACATATACATTCTTCCAATGAGCAAACACATTCGGCGGGGGATGGCCATGTTGACATGGCTCTTGTTCAAAGTATTATTAGACATCAGTTATTTAATTTTGAAACAACAGTGTGTTTATGATAAAAGAAATTATCCGTGTATTACCTCAATTTACAAACTTGGTACAGCACACTTGATTATGGACGCTAGATTTGTATTTGTATTTGCTTTTTTCAACTAGCTTACACTATTATTCAACCGGAACATTTTATTACCATTACTTGCAATTATGATAATTGTTATTTAATAACTTAAAATATACCTGTCCTAACAATGTGTGGAATAGTTTTGTGAAGTGACAAATAGAGTGTGATGCATTTACTAAGGTTTTGAAAATGTATTTCGAACAAGATTAAAATGTGTTATTCCGCTACCCATCTGTGAAATGTTTTGAATTCTCAAGATTTAGTAAAATTACTTTAAAAATATATATGACTGTTTTCCGTAACAGTTAAATCGGATGAAGGATAAATGCTAAAAACATGTTTATGAACCTGTTTTTAACTTTTTGCAGACTGATAATTTATCTCGATTTAATATGTTATATAAATCTCTTTAGCTTTTTATATGAACTATTATTCTATACCATTCTACTATAAAATATAGTAGATCTTTTTCTTGATAATTAATATATTACATTTGTTCACAACAATATCAATGACTTTCAAGTCCGACGTGGTGACCAAGGGAATTCTTAATACAATCATCTTTTCTATATCTTGATATGGCAATCTTGGCCCCAAAGCAAGCTTTTTGTTTCAAGCTACTTATTTTGTTTTACTTTTTACCGTCAACTTAATCAGAATTGTCTAGCAATTTCTTCTATATTTCTAAGAACGGCGATGATCTTTTTCCCTACTCAGATTGCACATTTGCGAGAAAATATTACATCCGGTCTAATTTTTTTTTATACAAACGGACCACGTCGTAAAAAGATCCATACAAAAAATAACTTTGCAGTAAATCAACCTTCTAATTCATCCTTTCCTTCATCTGGTTCCAACCTCTGTTCTTCTGTAAATATATGGAAAGGAAACACATGAGCGTATTTTGTCAGAATTGCTTTTTTTTGTGTGTTTTAAATATCAATGAAAAATATTAATAAATAATAATATATTTTAAGCATCAACAACTATAAATAAAGCAAATGACAGTTGGTTTAAACATACATGTGATTATTTAAGCTGGACTGCGAAACAAATGACAGTTAAATTGTTAAATGCACCGGATAAGAAAACAGAGGAATTAAAGATTAAATAAAATCTATACAAGATTATTTATAATCATGCATGACTTGATATTTTGTTATTTTTTACATAAGCTAAATAATAACATTGAAATCACACTTCAATTTTAAGAACATGTTAAAGGTATCCATGATAAGATATCGACACAGAAAATTTGTTCCCAATATGGCCAATATAGAGTATAAAACAATAAAATGTAACAAGAGGAACATGATGGCCCTGAATCGCTCACCTTAAATACATTGCTAAAATGGTCACAATTCTTAAATGCAGAAATTAGTTATAAGTTTACTTTTGGTGTGCTATTTCCTACCCAGCTGCATTAATGGTATTTGTAGATACTTACTAGGAAATGCTACATGTGTAGCAACGCTATATGTCGCAACGCCGCTATATGTCGCAACTAACGCTAAATGTCGCAACGCTAACGCTATATGTCGCAATCAACGCTATATGTCGCAATCGCCTACCGCTAAATGTCGCAACGTTGCCGCTATATGTCGCACAAAAATCGATTGCCGCTAAATGTCGCAACCCCTTGACGCTAAATGTCGCACTTAGTAGGAAAGTAACAGATGGAACTGAAACAAAAAGTAAGTGTTAAAACATTTAAAGTTTATACCATTTACACATGAAAACATATCCTATTAAGCAAACAAAAGTTGTATTTCGCGGTTTATGGCAAAAACCTTGTATGGCAATAGAAACGGTTTTTGATAAAAGGGATGGATTTGGTTCTCAACTACGGACCAGGTGTGAGATCAAACTTTCTCTTTGAGGATGCCTTTCTCACAAAATGCATCAACAAAAACATTTGGATATACATGTATATTTGTTATATTATTTGACTTCACTGAGCAAACCGCTTGTTAATGCTAAGGGGAACTATATCTTAATATATATTTTATATTATACCTGTTCATAATCTGACTAAATAGTCTTTACTACATGTATGTATTAAATAGTACCCAATTGATCTGTTGATCGATATTCGTAACTATGCGGTGTATTGATTTAGGTTTATGACAGAATTGTTATACTTTCATAACTTTTTATATTTATCTCAATATTTCTTTGGGAACATTAATGAATCAATATACTATGGAATTGCCAAATGTTGACTGCCTACTGCTTACTGTCAACTGCTTACGGCTTACTACATATTATTCACTGCTTATAGCATTAAAATAAAAATGGACGACCTATTACAACTATACTGGTCAAAAAATATTCAGTTGCCGAAATAGTTACCGTTCTGGAGGTCAAATACAATATAGTGCAGTGGTATATAGGCCACTTCCAACAGCCTTGCTGTTGGGTAAACCCTTTAGCGATGTGGTTGAGGTGTCCGCCTACGGACCAAGAGGTCTGTTGTTCAAAACCCGGTTGGACCCTTGGTATTTTTCTGCCTCCTAATTTAAAATTATACGATACTGTTTGAATGACAATCCTGCATCAAGATACGTCCTTAATCGGTGTCATCTAAGCAATGTTGTTAGTCTGTGTGATGCACAAATGCCGCGCATTTACATTTCTCCGGATATTATGAGTAATGTGTCGAATGTTGTTAGTGTAAGGAGACTGCTTATGAATTTTGGACGATTTAGTGGCCTAATTCTCGAAATAAGACTTATAATAAGAGAATCTCGTTGGGCAAATGCCTGGTTACACCTTCGCCTTTGCGTTGATGTCATGTGTTGGTTTGAAATTGTAGATATATGGTATAGAAGGCCATGAACGTTTGTAGGTCATATAGTAATGTTTTAAAATATATGAGATAGGTGAAAGCTGAAACTGATATAACATTGGATTTCATTTTTTTTTTTAAATATCACAATTAGTACTAGGAATTTGTTTTCGTCATTGTACTTCGTTTATATTTGAAAGTTTGCTTTCCAAAAGTTTTGTTTTATTTCTTTGATTACAAATGGGAGATTTGTACATAATTTTTATCATAACATTTACATTAAGTTTATAATTTACTATTCTTAACTTGAGTTTATTTCTTTTATTTGACTTTGTAATCATGGTACCTTACCACATTATTAACTGTATAACAGTAACGTGTATTTTATTTCTTGCGGTGCCTTGTGCCGCCGCATTGCGGCCTTGCCGCATAAACTGGTTCAAAGTCGTTTATGCGGTGATTTTCTCCGCATTAAAGAAATACTTTTTATGCGGCACAAAGGTACCCTGTCACCGCATAAAAACAATTAAAATGTTTAAGACTTTTTTGTATTAGTGACGGGGTGTTTTTGACGTTAAAAAATAAAGTAAATATGAAAAAAACATTTATCTCCTGCTAAGGTTATGTAAATGTGCAACGTGTTTATGTGTCAATCAAAATTGAATCGGCGTATGACATTTTTTTTTTACCATTTACTGGACTGACGGACATTTATGATCATTCGTAACGTCATTTAAAACATTTTTAAGACATAATTGTTATTAATTATTATTTAATTAATATAAAGGCCTTCGCATTGTTTCAATATCGTTGTATACAAATCAATACAAATAATAACTGGTATTTCTGTGAGTTAGATGGATCCATATATCATAATCTCTGGACATGCAATCATGGAAGCTCACAACCTGCGGAATAAACTATTATATCGATTATTTACAAGTTGATTCAAACAAACAAACACTTTTTCGCTAACAACCAATCAATGGATGCGAAAATATGGCTTAATAAAAACATTACATTGGGGTGGGCGGTTGGGATACGATGTCTTCAATGCAATGCGAAGTCCTCGAGTGGCGATTTACCCGCCTTTCCATATCAATACCGGCGAGCACGAAATATTCGTGCTAACTATGTTATACCTCACTTAACCGGACAATTATAACTCTTAACCTGCAATAAATACATTTATTTTCTAATTCGCTCTGCTTAACCGAAAATAAATTATTTATCACCTAATAAGAGTTGTGAAACCTTCAGTCTTAGGCAGAATAAACAACAACACTCAAGTAGGATAAAGGCCTTCGCATTGTTTCAATATCGAGAAAAACAAAGAAGGAGAGAGTTATAAACTTTAACCAATTTAATTATAACGTTCATAATGTCGTAACCAATATACAATATCAATTAACTTTAGCTATGAGAACAGCCTATATATAATCATAAAATATTCGACAAATTAAACACCTAAACTTCTTGATACAGATAATAAATTTTCTATACTGTCTTTCACATAGCCATCTTTGGCTTTCTCACTACGCCAACGACCGTGTCGTTTAAATAGTCTATCTGGTATACCAAAATTAGCAGCAGCTGTACATCCGCCACTTCTCAAACTATGAAGTCCAAACTTGGTCTTATCTAGACCTAAATCTTTTAACATTTCAAGTAAAACCTCTCTGGTTCTAGTGTAAGATAAAGGTTTAGAACCTTTCAAATTATACTCATTACGAGACTTAAGATACAATACTGAACGAAATATAAAATCTTCAGAACTATCGTCTTCGTACAAATTTACACATTTCAAATATTTTTCTAATACAGTGACTGGACATGTAATTAATCCGGTTTTAGCGATTAAACAACTTTTCCCTTCTCTGTAAATATCAGTCTTACTAGTCTCAATAAAAATTGATAAAAAGTCTTCATGAAAAACCAAATCAGATCTTTTAATATTAGACAGTTCTGAAAATCTTAAAAAACCAGCGTACGCAATAAGACACATAGCAACATTTCTTAAATTCATTGTATTTGAATTATGTCCTAAATAACGAGAAACCATTTGATTTAAAATATCAGACGTTATTGGCTCTTTCTTAGAAACGGAATGACCCAGGATCCGGTGTGCAGCTTCCCTAACCGATTTCACTACAAAACTTCCACAAGGATTAGAATTGGAAAAACCAGCTAGTTCATGCGCCCATTTCACGCCGTAAAATGTTTCATCAACTGTAGATGACGATTTATTACTTTGAATTAAAGAAACTAAGTATAAACTAAAATCAATGACTTTAGCTGGCAATGAGATTAGATTGTGACGACTTGCCCAAATACTCCAAAGTTTAAATGTTCTCTGGTAACACTTTCCAGTATTAAAAGCTTTGGACTTAAGTAAAACGTCTGGAAGCTTGTAAGCCAGGGAAGACAACTCCGGATCCCGTTGACAATCAGAAACTAACCTTTTACCAATGATATTTCTGAAATGTATAAAAGGAGAGAAAATATATTAACTTGTACATGAATAACAAAATCATAACAACTGAATCCTCGATTCCACGAAATCCTCGATTTCGTTATCAAGTTGATTTTTTTTCTTTGTTATTAAATATATAATAAATATAAATATTTTTATCACATGTTTTTTTATTCATATGTAACAGTAAATATATAATAAGCTTTGAATTGTTTCACATATTACATGGCACACTATAAGCAATTGTAAGATAAACCATTTGTGTACAGTAATATAACCTTAAGTTATTGAGGCCTTGAATATAGTTAATATAAACTTAAATTAATCAATATATGTTTCAGCATACAGATATTAAAGTTAATCGTTTGACTTTATTATTGTTAGCTAAAACAGACTGACTACCAGGCAAGTTCACTTAATTTTGCCAGAAAAGTGCATTGTCAGTCCAGCGGTATTTTCTTTCAAATCAACAGCATTACTTTGGTAGCAGCATTTTTTGTTTACACATGCTATCATTTATGTAACTTTATTTTGTTTTTGTTTGTTTGTTTCATTTTACGCCTTTTCCCAACAGTATTTCAGTCAAACAGGCGGGTAGTTTCCTAAC